AAAGTCTGAAAATGAGGTTCAGAGAAGAGACCTGTCCAATAACATAGTAATTGGAAAAGACAGAGAGAACTCGGTGCTCACTTCCAGTGTGGGACTCTTCCCATCCACCTCTCTTCCTTAGGATGTCTTTTCTTCCAGAAAAACATATCATTTTTTCTCCACTAAACTCTCAGCTTGGCACTAGCTACCTTGATTAGGTAAAGTGAAGTAACGGAAACAGTAAAAAGTGGGAAGAGCACAGGATCTGACTTTTGGCTCTGCCACGTACTGGCTGTAGGACCGAGATCAAGCTCCTGAACCTCTCTGAGCACTGGTAAGATGGAGAGAATGATTCGTACACTAAATAGTGTCACCAAGATCAAAGCTGACACTATATTAAGCATGCCTCATAAAGTCAAAGCACAAGTTGTCTCACATCTTTGAAGCTAACTAGCCTGCCTGGTTGCTCCTGTCCCGACAACGGTGAGGAGGAAGCAATCACAACTGAAGTAGTGACTACCAGCATCTTCCTCAGGATAGCCAATCCAGAGACATTAGACTGAAAACCACTGATGCCACACCCCCTGCCAATCTTACTGGTTGATGTTTCCGCTTCTCATGGTGCTTCTTTAACATCATCTTCAGGTCACTGTCCCCCAGTTCTATTTTATCTGAGAGAAAATGAACCAAACCAAACGGACTAGGTCATTCGCTACCACAAAGATCCCAAATTAAATCTTTCTGGTCACTTGTTACATGCAAAAGTAACACACTTCTGAGTTTCCCTGCTGACTCCTGTGGACTGTAAGAACCAAAAATCTTAAAACAGTCACAGGATCAACACTTCCACTTTTCTAAACATTGGTAATAAATGATTTCAGTTACTTAGCTGGTCCTAAAACACACTAAAGGTTTTTAACATCCAAATCAAAATTCTTTTCCAATCTCATAGACACTCTGAAGAATTGCTATGGCTCAGGTCAGGCCTCTTGTTCCATTACTGAACTGTCCCTTAGTACCACTATTTTAAGATTCTGCTTTCTTTAGTCCAAAGTATCAGCTGATCAGCTCATGAGCAAAATTTTCAAAACAAAAGAAAGAAGGCAGGCCTACCTCCAGATGGTACAAAAACTTCTCCAAATTGCCTAGTTCTAAGAGGCACTGTCTTCCTGGCAGTAAGAGTCTAGTCCCCACCTCCCTCTAAAGGAGCTGTCAAATCTACATCGTCTTTTCCCAGAATGGCGGCAGCATCCGCTCAGTTCTCACCTGTCGTTTTCATATCCATAGTTGAAAGCGTGGGCACCACCCTCAGGGGCACCGCGGGACTAGGAGAACGCGCTGGAGAGCTCGGAAGCCATGAGCTGAGATCTTCAAAAGAAAATTTTTCTTGTAAATCCAACGTGGCTGTGGACTCCAATAGGGGAGATTGGGTAAGTGGCCATTTGGATTCAACAAGGCTAAGCCAACAACATGGAGGCCAGGGTTCCACATTCCTTTCTGACCCTTCCCCAGACGAGCTGGAGCAGACTTAGGTCATTTAAACGGCTCCTCCAGGAAGAGAGACGTCAACAGAGTGATGGGGTCGCATTGCAGCAGGCCAACAGTCACTACTACTCTCCTGTAAGGGGAAAAGCAGTTCTCTCAAGTGGCACAATGGGACCAGTCAGGCCTACTGTGGAGAGAGCCCTGCCGTGCAGGGATTCGTCCAATAGGTTCTCACCTAAACTGAAATGCCGCGCGACCACAAGGGTAAAAGGGCATCTATTCACTCCCCGCCTAACAGCAATGGCTCAGCGACCCAGAGACCAAGGGCTTCTGAGTCTCACTATCCACCCCGCCCCCCACAAGCCAACCTGGAGGGATTCTTTGCTGGGGAGATAAATGGCTACCACTGGCTCCAACCGGACAAACAAGCAGCCGGTGTAAATCCAATACCCAGCTACCCCAAGTGCCCAAGGACACTCACCCTCTTCATCAGACGACAGGGCTGTGTCCCCACACTCCTCCTTCACTTCCCTCAAGACCTTCAAGTAGCGCTGCTGGGTCCGCCACTCCCGCTCCTCCGGGGTACGGGATGGTGAAGGGCGCTTCTGCCGGAGAGAAAGGGCCGGGCCACTCCGCCGGGCCATCTCCAACAGATCCTAGAAGAGATGAGAGAGGGGAGTGGGTACATGCCATTATCTGCATCTTGTTCTGCAACAACGGACTCTCCGTAAGTCTACTTTTTCTTCTCTTCAGTGTTAACTGAGCTCAATTCCTTCCCTCCAGATCACAATGAAAGATGTACATATATATGTCCAAATAGAAAGAACATATATCCATTACATGGCAAAAAATCCCAAATCTGAGAGCTGAATTGCCCCACCAAGAATGAACACTTATAGTCACCCAAGTATTTCTATACCGAAGCTTAAAGACCACTTCGGGTCAAAACAACTTCGCCTCTATGAACTACCAGGCTAGTCCAGACCCATGGCCACTGAGCTTGGTGTGCTACGTATCCATCACAGCACGCGGGGGCCTGCGTGCTCTTGCACGTCAAATCCAGAGCATCCTGGCTTTCCTTAATAACTCGCGATGGATTTGGAACTCAGTTGTTTATCTTGGTAAATACTGAAGCTACTTTATTTCATCACTTTCAAGCAGCACTTTTTTTTAACGTCTCTGAAATCAGGATACATCTTAAAAATGATCCTAAGAAAGCATTACAATTTAACTATGTCATACATTAGTTAGCAGCACGTTTTTCTTGGTGGCATCTGTTGTGTTTTGCGTCGGAATCTCTTTTTGAAGTCATGATAGCTGAGCTCACTGCCCACGTTTCACGTCCAGTCCCCGGCATTACTTACACTCCGGGAAGCGAGAATCTGCTTCAGCAGCCGATGGAAATACTGCTGCTGGGAGCTGAGGTAGCGCTTGTACTGCGACTTGAAGCAGAGCTGCCGATACTTGACCACCTCAGGGTTAAAATGTCCATCTTAAAAAAACAGAGGTACAACTACATATACATCAGTCAACACACATTTAATGTGGCAAACCGTACCACTGAACTTAAGGGAAAAGGGAATATTTAAGAGACTCTGGAAAGAGGACTAAAAGTAAAAGAATGCTAAAAGCAATGATAGCTCACTGCTCAAGCCTGATAACCGCAATAACCCCAGTAATGCAACTGTCTTCAGCATCACCAGAACTGAAACATGGTGCTGGTCAGAGTGAAATATGGAGAAATTCCCACCTTGACATTCCTTGTTTGTATCCTTACCAGACTATCACATGACTTCCTGGGAGAGACGCCAGCATAAAAGACAGGGCTAACATTTCATAAGGTCCCTCACAGAACCCCTCCGAAGCTAAGCCAGTCTCCCTCACGTTTGCGCTACCAGTTCACCCCCAGCTTCGGTGAACAGATCTCCGCAAACCACAGCGGGGAATTCCTCTTTACGTGAATAACCCATCAAAGGAGGGAACGCTCACCTTCAACACTTAAGATAACGAGAGAACTGAAATGATGAGCCTGTTCTCTCCAGTCTTCAGCAGCTGCCAAGTGTCCAGTTTAACACAACTCAAGATGTGCTGCCCTTGCAGAGCCTCCTGCCAAAGCAAACTCACCCCAGAGAGGCGGGGGAGAAGGCTTTCCTTACTCTTCTCCATAGGACTGAGAGCAAAGTGTGACCTAACAGTGGCCCCAAAACATTTTGCAACCCCAAATGTAATAACTGACTCAGGTGAGAATCACTAATGGGAAGCAAAACCCACTGGGTAAAATGGAAGCTTTTCAGGAAATGCCACAGATTGCTTTTTTTTTGAGACAGAGTCTCACTCTGTTGCCTGGAGTAGAGTGCCGTGGCGTCGTCTTAGCTCACAGCAACCTCAAACTCCTGGGCTCAAGCACTCCTACTGCCTCAGCCTCCCGAGTAGCTGGGACTACAGACATGCACCACCATGCCCGGCTAATTTTTTTCTATATAGATTTTTAGTTGTCCAAATAATTTCTTTCTATTTTTAGTAGAGACGGGGTCTCGCTCTTGCTCAGGCTGGTCTCGAACTCCTGA